AGCAGTGTTTTGTTAGAGGCACTTGATTTCTCATGTTATGATAGTACAAAGTGGGAACGAAAGATCAATGTCAAGTTCTTTCTAATAAAAATTTTACAGTCAGTAGTGGTAAGCGTACAAATTATGCGAAATGAAGAGCAAACAACTAACAATAAAAACAAATTACCAAATAAGTTTATAGTGATCTACTTTTATCAAGAAAAAGCGATTGGTGTAATGGAAACAGTTATTATTATAACGAATTGTACCAGGGATTGTTTTACCATACTTGTTTGTTTAAATATACCAAAATACATACATTCTTCCGTTGATTGTGATCTTGCACGGATTCGGTTACGCTCAGTAACCCCACTTGTAACCTGGCACGATCTCGGTATTTCTTTGATACCACGAGACCGCCAACAAAAATAGATATCGACTACAGCCATCAACTGCCTTCTGATATTTGACCTACGGGGTATCTTATCGGTTAACTGGCACGCAGTCTTCATGTGGTGGTGATCATAGCCAACCACGACTCGACGCCACACAACAAGTTTGTGTCAACTACCTCCACAAAGTCTTACTCGCTCTTTTAGATCACCAAGACTGATAACCGGTTTCGATGATTGGCGATCTGCTAGGGTTGAACGGGAATGGTATGACCTCTATGCCCACGTCAGAGTAATACATTGCACTCTATACCTAATATAGACTACGTTTTCGTCGCACGCAAGTACTGAAGCTACTTTGATGACCGTATGGGGAAAACATAACGACGTTACTTGAATGCACTAATGAAAACAGGCGTATGAAACAGGGTGCGACTACTGAAAACAAGCCAGTGTGTAGCGTACAATTGCTCGATGTGTGTTAGCTGTCCTTAACCTCGCCGGTGGTTGGTAAAATGTACAACATTCAGTAATTTGACTGTCATGTGAGTTGACAAGGAACCAATGACGTTTCACTGACCCTACATTCTTAATCCTAACAATGTTAACCATAAGTTCTAGACTTAACACTCATAGCTTCTGTCTCCCGATTCTCGACGGGCTGATAATCCTTAATTTTATCTTTCAACTATTAACTTGTCATACTAGAACTTTTAGTGTATCGTAATTTAATTGCTGTGCATCACAAACTGCTTCGTAACCATGTACTGCCTTCTGATCAGCCTCATAATATCGTTGCTATTATATATTTAACTTAACTTCAACACACCATTGGTGAAAACTCCTGCACAATTTAGCCCAAACTTTCCATTTTTTCACTATGTTATAGCATTCTGTGACTATACTTCATCACAATTTCAATATCCTTGTAGCAGCAAATGAATCTCCAAAATCAAAAGTTCTGTAAGACATCGACATTTGATGCTGACCGAACTAGTTTTACTGGAATCACATAAATGAAGGCACTCGGTAACGAATCCGCACAAGATCATGAGTGGGTATACCGTGCTTCAAATCTTTTACAATCACTAGCCAGCTTGGGTTAGTCACATCTCGATATATCGATACTCTATTAAATTGTCCTTCGAACCTCTTTGCTTCTGAGTTCTGATTGCATTAGGTTTGCATGTTTCGATTATAAATGTTGCTACTGATTAAGGTGTTGTCAAGCTCCGAATACTTGGGGCAATTCCATCCCTCTTTTACACATTACTAATTAAGTAAATTATTTATTTATTTTGTAGCGTGGTGTCGAGTCCCAGTTCACTATGAACACCACCACAAAGAAACACCTGCCAAATAAATCAGAAGGCGAATGTGGGCTGGAGCCGTGATCTCGTGGTGTCGAATGAATACCGAGATCGTGCCAAGAATAGGTACAAGCGGAATCGGTAGGAGAAAGTACGTGCGAACGGACTCACGAACCGCGAAACAGTAATGGAGAATAATGGAAGAGCAATATGGCTGTCTTTAGCACAGTTAAACAAACGAGCACAGTAAAACAATCACTAGTACAATTGGTCATAATAATAAGTGTTTCAATTAAATCAATTGCGTTCTCTTGGTAAAAGTAGGTCACTACAATTTCTTGGAACACTAACGTTTCAGCACTTTAATGATCACTTTATCTTTTCCATACTGCAATTAAATAACATCCTGCCTGATGATATGATGGCTGCTGGTATCATGAAACGCTACTGTTCTAGGACATTCACTCAAACTACAAGATATAGAAGATATCTACAAATATCTCCCAAAATGACCAAAATTGGTGCCGTCAAGTGTCTAGGCTACTACTTATTATTCATCATCAAATACTTGGATCCGTACCGAAGCAATCAGAAGCGAGTACAAAGAAGTCAATCGGTTTACATAAGGTTGTGTCTACGTCATTGTATATTGGGTCTGTAAGATTGTCTACTACTTCGAGGTGTCTAGTCGGAGTCATATATAGGAAGCCCACTGCCGACATCGAGTATGACAGTCGTATGCTGGAAGGACTATCCCACTCTACTCATCTCGGTTTCACTCATATCCTGAATTTAGAGGACTTCAATCTCCCTAGAGTCAACTTCGCGGAACATACGTATATTGGAGGTGAAAACTGAATTGAAGCTCGGTTATTCAACCTCATTGAGAACTTTGGGTTATACAAAAATGTGAAGTCGGCAACTCGTTGGAGAAACAGTCAGACACCATCGCGCTTAGACTGTGTATTTACAAACGAATAATTCCTAGTTGACAACCTCTCAATCCCCTGGGGAAAAGCGATCACGCCGCTATAGCTTTCAGTTTCGTCAGCAAAACTGAGCTGAGATATCCCACCAACAAATCGGGCTAGAATTTCAAACGGTTGAATGTGTCAGCTCTACAGGACTACCTACAACAGGTGGATTGAGATGTTCAGCCTCATCTCGATGTAGATGCTCATTGGGACTTCTTATTGCACACGCTCTTATGTGCTACAAGTCATTCAGCTCCTCAAACAGTCCTCCATAGCTATCAACAACCCATAATCATCAGGAAACGCACTTTTTGCCTGCTAAGCCGCAAAAGGCACTGTTGGGCAGGATACAAATGAACTGACAACGACGGAGCGTACAGGCAATATAAACATATAAGTAACATATGCACGAAGACTATAAGAGAAGACAAGGTTCAGTACCAGATAAAGCTTATGGACAAATTTGTATCTAATCCGAAAAGCTTATTCCGTTATGCAGCCTCTCTTCGTCGAGCCAAAACTGGAGTTTCCCAGCTGCTAGGTCTTAATGGCCCGACCAACGACGACGGCGACGCCGTTAACCTTTTGGCTGAACAATACTCTTGGACATTCCAACCGACCCACATCAACTATACTGATGAAAGCTTCATTTGCAACCCCAAAGGACTTTCCGAAGTGAGCCTGAGATCTGACTTGGTGTTCCGGAATTTGCAGCACTTAAGAATTGACACGTCTCCTGGCCCGGATATGGTCCATTCTGCCACACTGAGGGAAGCAGCCTAAATCCTGGCAACGCCGCTTAGTGTGATGTTCTCACACTTGCTAGGCTAAACTACTGGAAAACTGAAAGTTGGCTCACATCACATCAATTTTCAAAGGAGGTCGACGCAGCGAACCTTCAAGTTACCGACCAGTGGCTCTTCTCTCCATACCTTAAAAAATCATGGAGTCCCTGATATGCGATGGTTTAAATGACTATCTACTGTCCTTAAATTTCTTCTCACCCCAACAGCATGGTTTCAGGGATGGTTACTCTTGTATAACCAACCTGCTGACTGCGGTGGACAGATGGACAAACATCCCTGATCACAAGGGGAAGGTTGGTATCATCTACCTTGATTTCTCAAAAGCTCTCGATAAGGTTAGCCATACATGTCTTATCAATAAACTCAAACGATTGGGTATCAGACCACCTCTAATCGATTGGCTCACTTCATACCTGAAAAATCGACATTTTAAGGTCAGGGTTAATTTCACTTTATCTCAGGCTATGGAATGTCCTAGTGTGGTCCCCCAGGGCTCAGTACTAGGATCTCTTCTCTTCTTGATCTGCATAAACGATCTTCCTCAACAGGCAACGTCAGACTTATTACTTTTCGCCGATGACGTGAGACTTTGGAGAGAGATACGCAACCATGACGATATACAGGCACTTCGGGAGGATCTGACTCGACTCCAAAGTTGGGGAGACGATAACGGACTTACGTTTAACACTTCAAAGTGTAAAGTAGTCCATCTGCGACATGTCGCAAACTACAGTTACAACTTGGGAAACTCCTCTCTAGTAGTATCCCAAGTCGAAAAAGATTTAGGAGTCCTGGTGCCCTACGGTTTAAAGTCTTATGCTAACTGTGACAAAAATGCCTTCCGAGCAAATCTTGCACTGGTAACATTGGAGCGCATTTTTGGCCAGTTTGACGAAAGAACTTTCCATATAGTTTTATCTGACCCCATTTAGGGTACGGAAACATAGTATTTCCTCCCTCACTCCAAAAGGATAAGGGCACTCTGGAGCGTATCCAACGGCGAGCCACGAAATCGGTTCGAGGACTCAAATTTAAACCTTATAAAGAGCGCCTCCAATCACTTGACCTTTACCCACTGGAGTATAGGCGTCTTAAATGTGACCTTCTGATGGCTTACAGTATCCTTCACACTTCTGGGCATCCCCTTAAACACGTACTTAAGCTTAGTCCCAATACAAACTTAAGGGGTAACACCCAGAAATTGGAGACACAACAAAGCAGAACGGACTGTAGACACAACTTCTACTCCTTACGAGTTGTCAAAAGCTGGAATTCGCTGTCGGCCGAGCTAGTTCAAGCGATTTCCCAGGAGTCCTTTAAGAGTCAACTTGATCTATTCTTAAGGGTTAAGGATAGTATCATACTATGATTTACCAATTTCTTTTCCTCTTTTGTTGTTAACATACACAGGTTCCTGCCTGGACGTTTTGGTGATCCCCTGATACTAGACACAGAAGCCTGTTAAGCGAAAGCTTCTTCTATTCCGTCCACAACCGACTGAACCATTTGAACCATTTAGCCCCACAATTTAAATGCCCTATGAGTGACCTTGGGACTAGCCACCCTTCGGGTAGGTCCTGGGACCGTCCCGTTAAGTATGGAAGCAGTAGCGGATTGTCAGACTGTGTGGTTTCATCAAAGAGCAAGACAATTACCGTTTTCATTTTTATTCTCATAAATGTTTTGAATTACATGGACAGATTTACGATCGCTGGTAATACTAGTTTAATCTCAATATTTATTTTTAATCAGGAGTTCCCGAGAATGTAAAAAGCTACTACAAAATAAACGACTCAAAACTAGGCCAGCTGCAGACCATGTTTTTTGTATTCTACACTATTCTTAGTCCTATTGCTGGTTATCTTGGTGATCGTTGGAAAAGAAAACGAATCATGCAGATTGGTCTGTCGATTTGGATAATCGTTACTTTGGCGAGTTCTTTCGTTCCTGCTCATGTACGATGACATAGTTGTAATGCCTTTAGCTATTCAGCTTATTTCTAGCTACTCGCTGTTTTGTTGGAATCGGTGAAGCCAGCTATTCCACATTGGCTCCAACAATCCTATCTGATTTGTTTATGGGGAATGCAAGAACCAAAGTTTTAGGTCTCTTTTACTTTGCAGCACCTGTTGGAAGGTAATATTAGTTGTCATTATGTGCTATATAACTTAGTTTCGATTGTTGTTTTATTCTTTTTATGGGGACATTTAAAAGTCATATCTATTTAGAGTTTAATAACAGTAATTATTGCTTAGTGACAGTAGTCAACATTTGATTTTTCGCGTATTATATGGATGAACATACACATCCGATTTGTGTATAAACTTTGTACAACAAGTTTTCAATTTAACAATAATCTCTTTTTCCTCATTTCATTTTAATTTCTTAATATTTAAGTGCTACTAAGTCTATTACATTTGCGTAAACTCAATAGTCGTCTGGTCGTTCTTGATGTTCAGCCCTTTAATTTGGTTGTGTTTTTTAGCGGACTAGGTTTCATAGTTGGTTCAGAAATAACTCGTCTGGCTGGATCTTGGCAATGGTCTTTACGAATTACACCGATTTTGGGCTTACTTTGTATAATTTTACTGAGTGTTTTGCATTCAGATCCGCCTCGTGGTGAAGCAGAGGGAGGTTCGCACATGCGTACCACTTCGTGGTGGCTAGATATAAAGTCCCTACTATCTAATCAAGCCTTTATGTTTATTAGCTGTGGATATACATGTGTCTGTTTTGTTTTGGGTTCACTTTCTTGGTTCGCGATTGATCTAATCCAGTCGGCATTGAATGCAATAAACGATGATCCTTCTGCCTGGAGGAATTACAAGCAAGTCTTATTTTGTTCTTAACGATTAATTTAATTTTTACTAATTATTTCAAACATGATCACAGGAATAAATCCATGTAGTTAAACACTTTTATAACCAAGAGTTGGTATATCGTTATTTTGCAACCGAAACTTTACTTTGGTAATTTTTGCACTAGAATTCTGTCAGTTATTATCCAATTACTAAATCCGCGATAAGCAATTAGAACGTCGGTCTCGATTATGTTTGGCGAACTCTAGTGTGGAGAATCATTGAAGGTTTTTATTTATTTATTTGGAACTAAAGCTGTTTACAATAAATGTTCATGCTTAATAATTACAAACTTTTTATGTGCTTTCTAATTACTTTTGTTTTTATGGCAGTCAAATTTAGGTTCCATAAAGTATCTTACTCGTGTTGGTATTTTAAACACTGAGTTCTCCTTTTAGGTGATATCCATTTCTCTAGAAAGCTGATACTAAGAAAATTTTGCAGTCATTGATATTGCTAGGAGTCAAACATTTCTGTACTTCAACATGTATTCCACCTGCTATCAGTATATCTGCCTCAAATAACCAAAGCCCGATCATCAAATTATGTGCGCAAGCAGCGTGTCATATGTTTATAGATCTAATGATAACTAGCACTTAGATTTTAACCTTTCAAGTGGACGTAGTGGTTAAAATCTGTATATACGTTCTCAAGAATTATATGTTAACTAAAATACTCAGTATTTTATAGCCGCCATTTATCAACTATCTGTGCATTTTATTTTTTTTAAAGTATTCCCATTGTTGTTGGAGCTTCAACATGTCTTGCGGGTATTTTTGGAGTCTTATCTGGTGCAAAACTAGGTCGTTATTTACGTCGATGGGTTCCTGCGGCAGATGCCTATGTTTGTTCTGCAAGTCTTTTTATATGTGCTCCATTCTTATTCTTTGCTCTGGTGTCTCCATCCTGGAATTTCTATGTATGCATTGTAAGTTATGTTTTCACAAATACTGGGATTAAAATTGACCAAAATCTTGGTAACTTATCTTCTGAAGCACTAATCAAAAGTATATTAAGACAGATTACCAACCAAATCTTGTTTAGCGAATATTTATTATAATTTACGGTTACTTTATGCGTAGTTAATTTAAAAATGTTACTCTTTGACATGTCAGTAAGTTAAACCTACTAGACTTCTAATAAACGATAAATACCGGTCTACTTCTTAATCATACCTTAACTCAACCGTCCATAAGTAAACTTGCTATTTTAATAAAGTTTGTAGGTCAAATAAATCTCATCTCTGAAATCGTATTTATTGTTTATTTGATTAATTATGACTGCACCACACGAATACTTGATTCCTAGTGGTTGTTGTGAGATCATTTCGCATCTTAATCAGTCTAGTGGCGACCTTAATTCATACATAAGCCTGCCCCTCAGCTTAGTATACCAGATTGTATGGTAATTACATTGACACTAATACATTGCATATATATATATATATATATATATATATATATATATATATATATATATCAGTGGCGCACATCTGTTTGGTGCCTCCTTGTACCAATGTTTATGTGTTGAAATAAATAAAAATAAATAAATAGTATTATTCTCTGTTCTGGACGGTTCACATAAAGAGCTATCAGTGCTTTACGAAGATATTAGTTGCTCTTCTAACCGAGAATCTTGCATGTAATAATACACTTCACATTTTAATTATTGAGTAGTGTACAATTCTTCTGAATTTAGATACTAATTTATCATGAAGTTTATTAGGCGATAACATCATTATCTGAGGCCACGGCTAAAACTAAGAGAAATAAAACTTCGATGACCTCACTTCTGAAATTTTTATGGTTCTCATCCTCTTCCGAACATTTCATTGTTATCAATCTGTGGTTTGCTTAAGGACAGCTACAACTTTATTTTTGAATATGGGATGTATAAATTATAGATTAATTTTTTTTAAAATCCCTACTAGTTTCGACAACCAATTTCTGTACTTTTCATTTATTTGGAACTTCAGTTGTTAATAAGGACTATTTTTCAAATAAAAGACTGCCCAGTTAGTTCAATACATTTTGAGGTTCACATTCAGCTATATGTACGATGTTTGACTAAAAGTGCTTCGGAGGAAATAGGAAAACTTCGACGTAGTTACCCCTAGCTTTTCATAGTTTTAGACTGTTCTGTCAGTGAATGTTTCGAACCATGGAAAAGTACGCCTAGATAAGATTTACAAGCTTTTAAAACCAAAATATACTAAACTGACATACTGTAAATCTTTTAAACATAATGTATCTGAGTAAAACTCTTTGAATGGTCACCTGAGAACGTTGTATTATTATTCTGTATTTAATGACACTATACTTGCAAATGTTTTCATCAATAAATTCCTGAACACTACTTTGAATTCGCTCAACTGATACGATATCCTGAAAGAATGAGTGTTCAAAAGATTAGCTTTTAAAAGAAAGTGATAACATACAAATCAACAGTCTGATCAAGAAGAACCAAATACAAGAAGACTGTTTTGTGTCATATTTTTATGTTTTTTTTATTATTAAGTTTGTGCTTGATGTTAGACCATTTAATTCAAATCTCTTTTTTGCTTTGATTTTGCAGGTTCTTGTTTTCATCGTCGAATTTCTTCTATGCATCACATGGGCCCTTGTGACTGATATGACTATGGTAAGTATTGATTAGTTGTTTATTATACATCCTATTAGTAGTTGGAAACGAAAAATAGATCATTTAAATGAGTGACCTTCAAAAAGTATACAAATAGTTTTAATTTATTTATCTTCCTACTTTGAGTATGTATATATCCTTCTTACAATGTCAATGGCTTGCTTAATGCCATGTTTTTTATATATATTTATTGATACCTCTCTAGTTCAGCTGTTAAGTCTATAACATCGGTTAACGTTCGGAATCACACTAGTGACGTTACAAATTAATTTAAAGGTGATTTCAACGTTACACTTGATTATGTAGGCTATTCAATCAAATATGTTTGATACTTATAAAATTCAGTTACCAATATTTACACAGATATCTTTCTAAGACATGTCTACTTTTAGTGATATATTTTAGATATCATATACAGCTTCACTTAGTGAGAAGTGATAAAACCCTTAGAAGAGTGCATGAATTATAAGCTGATTCCCAGAATTTTCACACATCTTGTGTAGTTCGTATACTGTCATAGTAGTCCTTTTTAGGACTCCCTTATTATTGGCCTCTTCATGGACAAAAAACGTGTCATTTATGATTTTAGATCACTAATATTGGCCGTGGGTCTACTCAAGTCGAACGGCAATGGTGTGACCTGATTTACATTGAATTCACTCCTAGGCAGTGAAGGTTTCTCGGTGATTGTAAAGATCAAGCAAAATTCTTACCAAAGTGATTTAATTCACTCGATAAAACAAATTAAAGAAGAATAGAGTATGGATACACTACCACTTGGATCCTATGCATAGCGTCCATATGATCAACATTGGCTAGTCATCTTTAACCTTGACGATAGTTGGTAAATTGTTCAGCACTCACTAACCAATCATCTAGCAACAGGACAGTTTAATTTAATGGGTTACTTGACTAGGTCCTAGTAACATTTCACTGATGCTACATACTCTTGTCTGGACTGCATCCTTGGAATGATTTTATTCTTGTTATCATACTGTTTTCCTCTATTTTTACTCCTTGACAATTGTCTTTTGGTTGCGCTTAATTTATTGATTCATATTTTACCAAGCTTATTGAATTATCAGTAAGTAAATAAATAGTCGAACTAGCTTCCTATATGAATTGTGGCCTTATATTTCTCAGATAAATAAATCTTTAAGGTTTCATCAGTCCCATTAGGTTGACGGCTAATAAAATCTCTTCAGAAAAACACGAAGTTTCCATCAGGTTGTGCAACCTGTGGCACAGTCTAGATTCCTGCTTGTCTATCAACAGATAAAGACACTAATCACTAGTTTGATTTGTATTACTTTATGATTATTGACTAGTCGATTCCTTAACCAACCGTTATAGCGAATGCGAAACGATATGTATTAATTGGGAGAATTTAATCACAGATTTCCTCAGTTCATCATTCGTTTACGATGGGAATTGCAAAGAAACTGCTTATTCGAGTAAAATATTCGTCAACTAATCTTTCTATCGTGATACATTATAACAAGTCCACTGTCAATAATAAAAAGCTTACAGTATTATTGCTTCATATACTTTTGATATGTTTCACAGTTCTAAATGACATATTCGACTATTGAAATTGTTTGAATAGGTATACTGATTCTGATGTGCTCACATCAATACCCATATCAGATAAAATTTCTGAAAAATTGTCTAACACTTATTTGTTTAGTACTGTATATCCCTCAAACTCATTGTCAAAACGCTCAGTTGAAATATTCATCAAATATTATTTTGAATTCCTCAAATGTTTTAACTTGGTTATTATCATTGATATGTGAAGTATCTTACCACCATTTTGAAAAACGTGGTTACTTGCCCTCTTATCCTTCTAAGTGTATATAAAAAGCATATACAAATGTCTCCTTCGTTTGTTGTTATTTTTTCTCTTTCTATCACTGTGTACTATTAGAGTATAATTCAAAGTAATGCATTATTTGATCAGTTCATAGCAGTAATTCATTTAATTTTGCACTATTTTCCTTTAGGGAGTAGTTATTCCTACTCGCCGTTCGACAGCATCTGCTCTTCAAATGGTTATGAGCCATGCACTAGGAGATGCCATCAGTCCGGCTATTGTTGGTCGGGTAAGTGATATTCTCTTGTTTCGTAATACCACAAACACTAGATCTAACTTTATATATATATTAACGTAAAAGACTAAGATATTTTTCTACTGCCCCATTCCCACTGGGATGTAGATATATCTAACCAACAGAACGTGCATCGTAGTTTTCACTGTTAGCCACTATCCAACTTTACTTAAAAATAATGATTAAATGTCACTATTGAGTTAATCTGCTAAATATTGATTTATTCTAACAGACTGACCCACTACAGTCCTCTATGAACTACCAACAAACCCTTACAAATAAAAGTCACCAATTCTTTTACTCCATAAGAAATAAGTTAGTGAGGTGCCCTATGAAAAATGTCTATTTATCAGACAGTATTGTAATCGACTAAGAAAGATTAGTCAGTAAGATTTAGAAGTAGGGCATCTCAGTTGTGAATCGTCACTGTGTACCAAACCGCTAGAATAACATTATTTGGTGCTACTTGCTTTTTTAAATTTTTAATATAAACATTATCAATTTGGCACATGAGAGTATACATAGTATTGGTTCAAAAATATTACCTGTTCACCTGTTACACCCTTCAGTGTTTGACAGGACAATTGAACGTGTCAGGCAACGAGATCAATTATTGGTTATAGAATAAAAGAATTATGGTAGCCATTTCATAAAGTCAATATCTACTCACTAGTTAGTAAACATACCTTGTTTAAACTAAGTCGTTTCATATACCCTATTATTTTTCTTATAGAAAACTGAAGAGGTCTCGAGTAATTAGAAATCATAATACTATAAAATTTTTATTTGTTTACTGGTGGTTTAATAGTTTTTTTCCTGCGAATATCTGGTTGGAATAGTTTATTTCTCTTCTATATTATTGTGATTATTCACTATTCTTAAGTAATAAATAAAGATTGAATAAGACTTATGTTTTTCCTCATTTTTATTTTTCATTTCAGATTGCAGTAGCTTTTACAGATCTGCATTCATTAGAGACACAATATTTAGGCTTACAAAGAGCATTATTTCTTACTGCGTTTGTTTGTGCTCTAGGTGGTTTTTTATTTCTTATGGTTACTTTGTATTTGGTTAAAGCTAAAAATGATGTTCATAGAGCTATTCAAGGTACATTTTATTTTTATTATTATCACTGTATAATATTGTTTCATGCTATATATTTATAGTATGCTATGTATATGTACTGTTTTATCATAATCATTATATCCAATCTCTTTAGAAATAAATAATCCTCCTTCCATTGACAACACAAATAAACGTAACTCAGTAATCATCATGCTGGTCCATTTGTGCTGAGAATTCTGTATTGTAACGAAAATATAATAATGTACAAAGCCAGTAATAATAAATAAATAATAAGAAAGATTGGTTCAGCGAAGAGTTCTCTTTTCGGCGAATTCATTTTCAATGCTGTACAATCGCAAATATATATATATATATATATATATATATATATATTTGCGATTGTACAGCATTGAAAATGAATTCGCCGAAAAGAGAACTCTTCGCTGAACTAATCTTTCTTATTTAATGTCTTGATGGGTGTATTCCTTTTACTAAAAAGTAAATAATAATTTACTGAGTAACCTACAATATACACTTACGTAAACGAATGCTGATTGACATTCTCATTAAGATCAAATTAGGATATTGGACCAATTACATTTTCTGCTCCGATAGTAATAAGATCCGCTTTTTTGTTGTTTTACATTTCACTTTCTTAAACCCCGAATTATAACTTTAAAATATGCGATAGATAGTCACCATTACTTGCTACTGTTCACATATATAAAATGAAATATATGCAAAAACACTTACAAAACTGAGGGAATTATTCTTAATTAGTATAGGGGGATTTGTGAAGATCGTAGAATTTCCATCATGAACCAATCTTAGTTGGACCTCCACTGCGAACCTGGAAGTACCTGACCGCCGTTTCATCCCAGTGTGGCATTCCCCGGTATTGTGCATCCACATCCGAAAATTGGACCTAGGACCTTCGGTCTTGCGTGCGAAGGCTTAATCTCGAGATCACTGGGTTCACTAGTGACTAGCTTCAAGATTCAACTCTGGGGGTTTTATTAAGAAACCATGATCAGTGATGTTCAATGCGTGTCAGGAGTGAGACAGTTATCCGCCACAAGCACTGGACGAGGATTGCGTAATATCGCGTATTGGTTAAAGTCAGACATTAACACCATCGGATACCGGCTCAGTGATCCCAAATGCTGCATCGTGGGTGAACACTGCTGAAATGCCCCATACTAGTATGAATCAGCCTTTTAGTACTTCCAGGTTTGTGGTGGTGGTCTAACTAAGATTGGTTCACGATTTAAATTATCGAAATTCTTGAACCTTCACAAATCCTACCTGTATTAATGAATTATTTATAGTTATTAAAGGAGGTTGTGTAGATTGTTAAATCCAAGGTTTTACGTTACAGACATGAATAACATTCCAATTTTTCTATTATTTTCTTTTCCACATCATTTCTCAACAGAAACCTAGATAGAGAAATAAATAGTGTATTATTAAACCCTACGTTATTTTTTATCCTATCAACATAATATAAGTTGTAAGCACATACAATCTCCAGCAAATAAAACAGACAACTCAACTGATTGAGATACTTACTTACGCCTGTTACTCATCGTGAAGGAGCATAGGCTGCTCACCAGCATTCTCAATCCAACCCTGTCCTGGGCAATCCTTTCCAGCTACTTCCAGTTGTTATTCATCCTTTTCATATCTGCTTCTATTATCCGACGTAATGTGTTCTTAGGCCTTCCTCTTTTCCGCTTCCCTTCAGGATTCCAAGTTAGGGCTTGCCTCGTGATGCAGTTTGACGATTTGCGTAATGTATGTACTATCCATTTCCATCGTCTTTTCCTAATTTCTTCTTCAGCTGGAAGATGATTTGTACTTGTACCTTCTTGATGGTGGTTGTTGTAGTTCTCCAAGTTTCAGCTCCGTACAGTAGAACTGCATTGACGTTGGTATTGAAGATTCTCACTTTGATATTGGTTGAAAGTTGTTTTGAGTTCCATATGTTCTTCAATTGTAGGAATGCGACCCTTGCTTTACCAATCCTTTCCTTTACGTCTGCATCTGAACCTCCTTGTTCATCGATGATGCTTCCCAGGTATGTGAAGGATTCTACCTCTTCCAGAGTTTCGCCATCAAGAGTGATTGGATTGCTGTTCTCCGTGTTGTATTTGAGGACCTTTGTTTTCCCCTAGTGTATTTTGAGGCCTACTGATGCAGAAACTACTGCTACACTGGCTGTCTTTGTCTGCATCTGTTCGTGTGTATGCGATAGGAGGGCTGAGTCATCTGCGAAGTCCAGATCGTCTTATTGATTCTGAGCTGTCCATTGTATGCCGTGTTTTCCCTCAGATGTCGAGGTTTACATAATCCAGTCGACCACCAGAAGAAAGAGGAAGGGAGAGAGTAGACAGGCTTGTCTTACTCCGATCCTTACTTGAAATGCATCTGCCGGTTGTCCTTCAAGTACGACCTTGCACTGTAGTCCGTTGTATGAGTTCCGGATAATGTTAACAATCTTCTCAGGAACTCCGTAGTGTCGAAGAAGTTTCCATAGCGTTCTCCTATCTACACTGTCAAACGCCTTTTCATAATCAATGAAGTTGATGTATAGTGATGAGTTCCACTCAACTGATTGTTCGACGACGTTTCATGTACCTACAAAAAGTTTTGCTCTGGTTGTTAGAAGGGGCATCGGCCTCGTGGCTTCCGAAGTAACTCAGCTTTCACCGTGAGGCGTCAAAGTTCTTCTAAATGAAGACCTTCTAACTCCCAGGGCAGAGTTAAAATAATTTGAATTATTTTTTCTGGTTAGTGTTTTTTTAGCGAGTTAGTTTTCTACGGGATGGGGACGCTAACCCCATGCCCAACCCTCCTCCTTTACCAGGGCTTGGGACCGGCAGTAACTCTAGAAGAGCTACAGGCGGAGTTAACTGATTGAGATGACATATTGGAAACAAATGTTTGTCAGTTCAAATTACTACAGTTTATTTGTGTTAGGCATAGTGAGAAGGAAAAAGATGGTTAAAAATAATAATATCAATAAAAATAGTAAATTTAGAAAAATTAGTGGCAAAATGGAATAAAAGATACAGAAGAGGTATTAATTTGTCCACGATTCTGAAGAAAATAAAATGGTAGATATATTTGGAATAATCATACTGATTTTCAACTATACTGACTATGGTTTTCTATTAGGAATAACATCAGTTTAATGGAATTCAACTAACAATTCATATGTTTTCTTACATAGTATGTGACCAGAT